TGCATTCCGGTTATATTTTTTTATCTTTGATCTTCTGTTTTTGTTTCTTTGTGTTTGCAGGGTATGTTTGCTATGGTAGGTTATTTCAGAATCAATCTGTCATTGGGAGGTAGTATCAGTTAAATAACCTCCTATTTACTGCAGACTTGGTATTTCTCATGTCTCAGCTGAGTGCAGTAAAGTGTTAAATAGCTGCCTTATGCTTGGCACAATGCAGCAAGTCCACAACTCCATGACACTATACTCACTGTGAGAGAGGGACAGTAGCAGCAGACTGAGTGGACATCAATGCCTTGGAGAAAAGCCTTGCATTGTACCCCATGACTTGTTTTCCTTGCTTGTGACATCTTGCAGATTTTTGTTTAAAATGTGCATAATTTTGTAGATACAGCACTTACAGACTCTAATCAGCAGTTAAGATAAAACAGTATGGCTTTTGTTCCCCTCCTAAAGCTCTTTTCATGCAGTGTCACTAGTTGCTCAACAGCCGCATTTATTCTGAACATCTTGTACAGCCCATGCAGGCCACATCAAGAACGTTCCTCAATCATTTTTCCTACAACAAACACTTTCAAAATACTTTTTATCCCAGGTTTATGAACCAAGATTAATCCTGTGTTAATGTCTGTCCTTACTCATCCTGCAGCTGTGCATGACCCCCCAAAACGTCAGAGCACAACTCCCCCACTGTGCTATCATCCGCTCACTTTGATGATGGCCCTGATTTGGCTAAAAAAAGCCCAAAATATGAGCACTGGAGGAGGAGGAGGTCAAGCTGATCCCTAACAAGACAGTTCTGACAAAATCATGTAGGAGGATTTCTTTTCATTTCAACCCTAGAGGCATATAAGTAGACCAAAACTAACAAGTGCCAGATATAAATCTGGTGCGAATGGATCTCTTTTAGTTGAATGGAGTAATGCATCTTTCTACCATCTGATGATTTGGCCCTTTATTTCTCATTAGTAAGAAATAAATACGTTTTTATAGACGGAGGGAAACCAAAACACATTAGCTTTGAAGGCTGTTCGTCAGTTCTTGTGCGACACCACTTAGATTACGTTGGGAAAACTTAATTAAAAACATGAAATTTAAATTTCTCTTGAGAAATTAAGTGCAGGTCACTTCTTTGTGTATATGTGACTGACCCCCTTATTGCTGTTTGCTTTCTGTACTACTGTAAATTAACTAAACAAAACTGAATCTGTGGATTAGAATTACACTGTGCTGTTTACAGGAAAACAGTTTTGTGCTGCCCTTATAGTAGGGGGGCAGACGAGAGCTTGACATTTGCCTCTGCTGTTTGCCAACAGCCAGCTGGTCCTGACAGCATATGTGTACTAGCAGGAGAACTGGCACGAGTACAGCTTTAAGTAGCATGTGCTATTTCCTGCAACAAGGGGGTCAAAAACCTGGACACGGTGAATGCTGGAGATACTTTAAGATTTTGAGAGCTATATATAGAAAATGTAGGACAGAAATCCATAGAAAGAGAAGTCTTCACTATTTATGGAGCAGCTTATTACACTTTGTGCATAAAGAACTGAATATTGGGGTCCTCTTAACAAGAATTTACCTAGAAAAGCTTCAATACCTTGTCAATCTTAGGGTCTGGTAAGTCATTTTGAGTTGGTTTTTGTAAATATACAGAGTCTATGTATACTTTTTCCCTCTTTGTTTAAATTTGTAGTACAAAAAATTATGTTCCCCACTGAGATTAGTACTGTTTTTTTGTTTGTTTGTTTGTTTGTTTTTGTGGGGGCAAGATTGTTTGCCCCATAGCATTATAGGGGAAAAAAAAAAAAAAGAAAGAAAGAAAGGAGTGCATAAGTTGTTTACTTGATTACAATTATAAGACCCAGCTCCCACAGTGGGATACCACTGTACCCTCATACTTTGGTGCCTAGGAAGCTCCCCCAAAGAACTCACTAAACCACCTGCATCTCTCTTACGCTGCACAAAGCACAAGCATCGAGGCTGCATCAGAGGCTATTTGCAACCCAAGGCCACATGCAGCTCACAAACATACCTTCAGATCACCTGAGCTGACAGGTATGTTCCAGCACTGGATGGGGGGCACAAAAATCACTCACAGCCCCTTTCCGCCATGAGCCCAGCGAAGGGGCAGAGCCAAGCCATTAAGGGCCATCAGGAAGGTCTGGGACATCCAGGGTGTCTGATGGATTTCAAACCCATGGTTCCTGCTTCAAGGAGTGGGTACAAAGCTGGAAGAGCTGTTGAACTGCCTGTCAGCTGGACATGTACACATGCACACAAAAGCATATATTCTGGGGATCTGGGGAAAAGGGAAAAAAAAAAGGGGAGGAACTTAATTTTGTAGCATTTATTAATTTTTTAGTCTTCAGGCTTGCTAAGCAGAGTGCAGGAGGTGAGGGGAGGGAGAGCAGTCCCCATTCCTGCTATTTGACATGAGGAATAAATAAAAGAGAATCTGTTTATTACCTGAATCTGTGGTCTACTGGTCTGTAGTCTGCTTTCCTTTAGTGCTAGGAAGACTATATTTCTAACTCATATTTGGCTGACACTAAGATGGTTCTAGGTTGAATTGTAAAGACAGGAAAGTTCAGAAGGCGCATATGAGTCAACGTGCAGGAGGTCTGCAATACGGCCAGAAACAGCATCTTCTTCTCCTGTGCTGCAGTCCCAAGTCTAAGCACTCTGTTACTACTGCTCTGTTTCAGAAGAAAGGCTTTCAGTTTTACTTTAGTTTACATTTTGGTTCCAGATAGCTAGCATCTTATTTTTAATTTCCGCTACCCTATCGTGAGATAATTTTCCAAGTGTACATCATTAGGATCATTTACCTCAGTAATTTGGATAGACTCATTAAATTGCTTCCTTTTCGTCTTTACAAATGAACCATATTTAATGGCTGTATTACATAACGTACACGAGCGAGAACTACTCTGAACTTTCTTGAAGGGCAGTTTAGTTCTGTTCTACCACATTTATCTAAGCATCTAACTCTCATTTTTAAGATGCCAAATGTTCTTTCAATTACTATTCTGGTCACTTTTTGAGTTTCATTATAATTTATAATGATACAGTACTCAGAGAGAATCTGGAGATAAAACAGAGAGAGATTAGGCAATTTTTCAAGTGATATCTGCTGTCACCTTATAAAGAAAAGGAAAGATTGTTATAAAATGTCTTCGGCATATTCGAGTGTATTGGAATACCTAAACGTTCACTTACTAAGAAAATGTTCTTTCACAAACATACTGTTTGCATATAACATTACAGAAAACTGGGTGGGAGAAGCGAGATGCATAATAACATGGTAGTATTAAAGCATATATGCTCTAGATGTTATAATTTCAGCTCAGACCTGACATCCATGCAGCTATAACTCAACTGCCTTGTAATTTACATCTTTATAATCCCCTGCAACTAATAAAAGGTACGCCAATTAAGATGTTAACTGAACAAACGGAGGATCTTGTGATAACAACCTTTGCTCACTCCTTCCCTTTTTACCACCAATATTAGCATGAGGTGCTTCACTATGGCCAGACCAGATCGTGCTGTTCCTTTGTTCCTGCAAAATCTTGCCTTGTGGGCAGCAACCTGGCAGCCTCCCCATCATCAGAGGCTCCCTGGTGTTCCTGTAATGTGATGGAGGGAGTTTCATATGGAGGCAGAGCGAAGAACCAGTGTACATCATCATCACACTTCACCAGCACTGAGGACAGAAAGAGTTCAGGATATTTTGTCATTAACTGTAAATAAAAGTGGGTATAGTATATATTATTATACACTATAAAAGGCACTCACAATATGTTCCGCCACTCAACAAATAATGAAAGTATATATTCAATACATTAATGTAACATAATTAATATTCTAAATGGCTCATGGCCTGACACCCACAGTTTATTTTTTTAAAAAATGCTCATCTTTTGTAATTGTTTGCATGCCTTTTCCTTAAAAAAATCAGTAAGCTTTTTAAAACGTGTTTACAGAGGTGAATAAATCACAGATTTAAACTGCACAGGCAGCTTTTTAGTGTAGGTTAAGAAAGCATATCAGTAATGAACAGCTTGAGCACCATTCATGTGATGGCCTATAGTGACCATCTCCTTTTAGAGTATCAGATGCTGAATAGTAAGGTGTTTTGTTTTTCTCCTTTCCACATTTAAACATTTTTTTTATTTGCTGTTATGATGGGTATATTTCTGACTGTGCTCCTTCATATGTGTCCATTGCTAGTGTAGCAATTACAGAAATGCTCAGTACTCCTGTCCTTCCTACCACTACGTAAATTTATACCTGTTGAGTGTTTAAACAAGTTGTGGAGAAACCAGGTCAGCGTGCATAATACATCTCAGACCTGAGTGAATGAATGCACGATGGCTCTCAGTGATAGCAGAAGGCTTCTTTGGAAATAGGAATTCACAGAATCAATTTACCTACGTATTCCCAGTACGTGCTGCCATGTTTGAGTTAGCAAAGATAGATACATAATAGAAAGCATCTGATGCATGCTGCTTTTTGGTGCACAGTACAAATAGTTTAACAACAGACACACCTAAATGCACTGTGCAAACAATATATCATCCTCGAGCCAAATGTCTTTTAACAGAGCCAGAGCCCTCACATAAAGCACTTGTTTTCCCATCAGCTTTTTTAATAAATAAATAAATAAATAAAAAATAAAAAATCTTGACCAGGAGCACTTTTATTTTTCCTTTCTATTCCTCAGAGCTCTCCCAAACCACATGCATTTATACCTGCTGGCAGGAAAAAAAAATAACAAAATTGAAGCTTTAAAATAAAAGCATAAAATAAATATATATTGCTCCTTGAAAGTCAATTACAAAAAGTCCTATTACTGTTGGTGTGTGTGTGTGGAGAGTGGAGGTAGCTAGAGTTTCAATATTAAAAGCAATTGTTTAACATTTTGTAATAAGAACCATTTTTCATAGCACTACATAGCTCATACACAGTTATATGGGATCCTCCTCCTCTTCCATTCCCAGCTGCTTAACATCTCTGAGCCATCTCTGAGGTTTGGAGAGGAAAAGACCAAGAAAGAAGTCTGCACTGTACCCCTTCAAGCTAGAATACCTTTCAACATGTGCTGAAAAAATGCAGGTAACTCCAGCTTCTGCAGTTCCTCAGCTCATCAATCTTAAATCAGCTCTTTTCTGCCTGCCTTTTCAGAATATTATACTTTCTGACTCTGTCTCCCTTCTTCTGTATGCACTCTGGTCATTTTATTCCTTTCTTTGAGACTTTCTCTTTTCCTTGTTTGTTAGCAACTTCAGAGAACCAAGAAATATGATGCTATTAATCAAACTATTTGTAATTTCTTGACAGAACTGAAGCAAACCTTGCTGCTCTGTTGTAGTACTTGAATCACATTTTGAGAGTGTGTCATAAACCAACACAGATGTCAGCCGGTCTTAGGAGATACAAGCAACAGACATCCAAAAAAAAAAAAAAAATCCCTTTCCTTTAAAACCTAGGATTAATACATAGATATAGGACACATCTGGGTCAATTTCAGGGACTTATATCTATAAATTTTAATTGAACATCTTTAACAGTAATTTATCAAGTTTATTGCCTCACACAAGTAAACTATCTTTTGCAGCTCTGTCTCCAACCTATAGTTCTTACACTGGTGTCTAAAAACCTAAAAACAGAAAATAGCCTTTCTAAACTCCTTTCTATACTTCTTGACTGTGAGGACCCAATTCCCAGTTTGGGAAATCTTTTTCCTCATAGAAACTCTGGGTCAACTTTATCCTGTTGTATATGAATGGATGCAGAAAGACATTTCTTTTACTCTTGATGTAATCTCAATCAGCTAACACTTGCAGTGGCCCACTGGCACCAATATTAAATGAGTTTCTTCTGTAAGATTTCATCAATAAAATTTGTAAGATAAATCTGTGCTGTTTTTATGTCTTTACCTTTAAGAGGCCACCTGTTTCTTATTTACAGAGGAGCAGATGCAATTCCCTGCTTCCATTTGGATTTCACATGGCATTGCGCTACTGGAACAAAACCTAGGACTGTTAATGTTTTCTGACAATGATCTACGTCTACACCAGTTGACTTGAGAAACCACTAGAAACCATTTTGTCAATGTTAAATATCCTTTATTTTTCAGTCACTTCTTACACAGAGCAGTAAGGAAAGTCAGTTAAGCTAACAATACTGTATGTAATGAAATCGCTCATTTATAAGACTAAAGCTATGTTTATGTGGGTTTATGATTATGCAGATGTATGTTAAAGCATTTGAAATTAGCCCTCATCTTGACTTTGATGAATATGGAAAATTAGAGCATTGAGAAAAGGCCTGGACATTTTTCCCAAAAGGAAAGATAACTTTGTTTTGACAAGAATGACTTCATCTTGACATATTTATAATACAAAATAAAGCTAAAATAGAAATATTTGTAAGAACTGTCATAGCAACCTGTTTTGATTTAATTTGCCAAAATTCCATTATGGAAATCCACTCAATTTTTAGAAAATGCCTCATGCAATTTGCATGAAGAAATCTTTAAATGGAATGGAACCTAGTTCCCTGTCATAGTAATTTCCAAAACAGGATAGCAGTAGTCTTTTTTTTCCCCACCACCTACTGTTGCAAGTTCTATGATCATTATAATTTGCTAGATGTTCATTCCATACTTTTGAACAGGTTCATTAATTTAATGAAGTATCATTGTTTTCCTTCCCTTTTTTTTTTAAGGGATGGTTCATTCAGCTGTCATTGAAAATGCAGAATGCTTTGAAAATGTAAATATTCTTGCAGCATCATTCCACTTGATGTGTGCTCTAGGTAATGCGTAACTCTTGACCTGATCGATCAGGATGTACAACCATCTTGAGAAGTAGTATGCTGCATAATTCAACCTGAATGTGCATAGCATTTCTGACAGAGAAATCACAGTTTTTATTGAAATGTAGCATTCTCAGTTTTACATGGAGCATTATATATGCTTCTCTCACAATTAACAGGTGCATGTGGATTTTCGGAAAGCCATTTTCTTTCTGTTTGAAACTACATCCACCTACAGACTAGAAATGAATGAGCCTGCTGATAGATAATTGCCTGTCTTCCTAAGCCTATGTGATTTATTTGCACTGGTCATGTCGAACAGGCAAACACAAAAAGGAATTCTTTATATCATTCTTTAACTGTCACTGAAAAGTGAGGACAGTGTAAAAGGGTGTGAGACACTTCAGGTTTATTTCTTTTGATTTATGCATCTATTTTTAATCAAAAAAAACTGAATTCCACATTGCTGTATTGCTACTGTAGATGATAATAGCTTTCTTAGCTGATCTTTGTGTACTTCATGAAAAAACACCTGAACTTTTATGAAAGTTAATTAAAAAGAAATAGACTCAGTAAATTAGGTTAAAAGATCCATTAAGATGCAAGCAACTGTACATGTAAGCTTGCAACGGATTAGTCACAAGCAGTAGCAGTTCTTGTCAGTGTCTTTCTCTATTTTTTTTTCTCCATTTTTCTCTTCTTTTTTACTTATAGCTGCTGGTCCTTCAGAAAAATCAACTTTCTGACATTTGCAGGTTTCATCAAGACCTGAAGGAAAAGACTAGAATCATCCATAGACTTTTCATTAGCGATGCAGACTACTAACAACCTTATTAACTTTCTTCAGGCGATGTCTTAGTTATAAGTCTCTTGTGCATTTTGCAGGTGTAAATGGAGAGATGAATCATCTTGGACTTCTGTCAATAGAAAAATAAATAAATTAGAAACTTTACCTACTTTAGGATGTGGGAGATATTTTTTTGTAATCATCACTGTGTCTAAAACAAATCTTGATTCTATCTCCTTGTGGCTTTGTGCCCACAAGATAGAAAATATATAAGTAATAGCATTTCTTCTGATAAAAAGTGTTTAGCAAGTAATATATCACACGTATCTTTTAAATCTTAATTAAATACTGAGAATCTTCAAAGTAGTGCAAACCAGACATTATAAGCAAACAAAGGTTAATTTTTATTTTTTTTTTAAATGGGAACAACAGTTCTACAGCTAGTTATCTCCAGATTACCATGACGCAATGTTGGATATAGATACTTTGTCGTGTTTTGTCTACTAAAAGTCTCATAAAGACAACATGAGTTTGTATAATAGGGCCTGAGTAAGAATCAAAATTTTGCCCAATACTTTTAAAGGACGTTGCAAAGAAGGGCTATGATTCAGAAGAATCCCATTTTCACATGGATGAGCAAGTACCAGACAGACTTCCATCCCACCTTGTATGTAGAGAAAGCACAGCAGGATGCAATGATTGAAAGAGCAGAAGGTTGAGGACAGTCATTTCCCTGAAGTGAAGCAAGTCCACTGGCTGTTTTCTTAAATGGAGGAATACTTACTGAACCACATTTGGAAGCCACGGCAGCACAGAACAACCCTTCTGTTCCTCAGACTGAAAATTGTGAAGGGAGTGATTCTTCCTCTGCGGCAGTTATTAGGGTTCAGATATTAATCTTTCTCCCTAAGCTTTTCTTTGGTAAGGAAAAGAAAGGTATTCTAGGGACTGAGCAGTGCCAGAGGAACTTCAGCTAGCTCTGCAGAGGAATGAGCCAAAAATACTTCCTGCGATTTTTATCAGTGTACTTTCTGCCTAGGTCCTCTAACACCTTCTGTCCTCTCTCTTAGAAGCTCAGCCCAGCTTTCTCCTTTGGTCTCTCTCGCTCATCCTGTTGTTCTCCCACATAGGCAAGGTACCTGAACACATTCTCTGTGTACATATGTGGCATGTTGTCCTGTAGCTTGCAACATAATTGTTTGTTTATCTCCGGTAAGTTTCACTAATTGAAATCCCCAGCAAGAAAAAAAATATATTCTGGCATTGCATAGGATTCAGTCCTGGCCAGTTTTCCTGCTGCTTTGAAGCAGTGTGCAAACATAAGAAAATAGAGCTTGTTTTGCAAGGAGCTAACAACATCAGCAGCACAAGACATGAGGTGTTTACAAACAACAGATGGGAAGCAGCTAGAGGGTGGTGGTCAACGTGAAAAGCAGCGTGCTCTGCCTAAGAGCTGCTTGCTCAAGGTTTTGGTAAGAGCCAAGAGCTTTAAGGGAAGACAGAAAAAAAACAATTTTTCTCTTATATGTATAATTAACTCAACTTATATGTAGCTTTAAGGAAGTAAAGGTTCCATTCCTTTTCCTAGCTGCAACCACTGTCCAGACAGGTTACATGAATCATTTTATAAGGGAGAGATTTTATGACATTTGAATTGTTTACAGCACATTCTCTGAACAGATGCAAGATTTCTAAACCTTTCTTTTCCCCAAGCCACTTTGAAATACGAAAGGGTACTGTACCTATTACGCATTGTCCTGTTGTGCAATTAAAGGATGAGAGAGACCTCCACAAACATACACTCCTCCTCTGATAACAGGTGGTAGCAAATGAAGTTCAAAATAAAATGTTAACAAATTTTAAAGCCTATTCCTGTGGTTTTGAGAAGTAAACATTTAAAGAAAAGGCCTTATAATAGTCTCCAATAGTGGTCATTAATCTTGTGAGCATTATTCCAACAGGAGCAAAGAGCAGATTTCTTTCTTGTATTTCTTTTGAAATTTTCAGGTCAGCTTTCTGAAAGAAGCTAAGGCAGTTGCACCATCCTCTCCAGCACAAAAAAGTGCATAGCCATACCCCTTGTGTTTTTTTTTTTTTTTTGCTAAACAAACTGCATCTGCTACTTGTCTTCTGGTTACTTCAGTGCTACAAGTCAGGGTAAGTCCCTGGATGCTCTTAACGACAGAATCTTTTGAGCCAGAGCAAACAGTCAAAAGGGAAGGCAGAGGGCATGGCAGGCCAGAGACTCTTAGTGGCAGCACCCACCTTGCAGATGACTCTTCATACAGAATCCAATTTAAATGACCTGCAGGATGTGGAGGTTTTACTTCTGCTTATTGTGCAGCTCATACTAACGTGTGGCACAGCAGCATGCTGCTGCAGAGAAGAGACAAGAAATATTTGTGATCCAGTGCTCGAGCAAATGTGCCAAAAATGACATACCTACCCAAAAGGTACCCACGTGTTCGGGGGTGGTGAATGATTTTAGTCATTCGCTCTATATTTATGTGTACTCAATCAAGTCTGAAAGGTAATGTCTCATTAATACAAGGTACTGAAATATCTTTCAGAGCTGCTGACAATCTCTCTTCAGCATAGGCAGGTAACGATCTACTTGAAAGAAACCATCTATTACTTAGTTTGTCTATAAAGATAACCGAGCCTAAAAGCAGCTTAAAGCATTCCAAGTTCCACCTGTAGCTTTCAAGTCTGCTCGAGTTGCTGAGCATCCGGGCACGTTTCATTTGAGCAAAATAATGTTTTGTCTGCCTTGCTAATCAAACTGCACAGTAATCCTGATGGTTTCATGACGTCTCTTTTCTATATGTAGCTGAATGCTGGCAGTGGGAGATCCCATGGCAGTTGCAAGTGTTTGTTAGAAGCTGTCAGTCGGCCTCCCTTGGCTTATGAGAGCTGCGTTCATTTACAGAGCAGCTTTGCAGCTTGCTCCAGTTTTTAGTAAACAGTGGTAACAAACTCAGTTTTCTTCCTTTTCTTAAAGGCAGTTAACGAAAGTTCTTTATCACATTCTGGCAAACCTCTTAGCAACAGTCCAGCAATCCATGCCTTCTGTCTTAGGTAAAAATAATCTGGACTAGGTAAGTAATCTGATTTGTTTCTTAAAATGGTACACTTCAAACAGAAACACACACAGATAGTTGAACAAATCCTTTGGTTCAAATTTACAGGAGATGTATTTGCAGCTTAGTTACTGCTGAAGGAAAGAGGTTCTAGCATTTTTCATAACCATGCTTATTTACTGTTTGTGGTTCTTACGCGTACACTATAGCTCATGCTCAGTTTAGTCAAATGCCTGGAGATACATTTAGCTGACGTTCAATTAGCGATGCAAGGCACTGTGATAAAGCAGTAGACAATTTACTATATTCTATTTGGCAACCTTGCTTGTTTCCATTAATATTTACAATAGGCTAGCCACTTACTGCCCCTATCTAGAAGAATAAGCAATCTAAAAGACAGAGTACAGAAATGAAGGCGAGAAACTGAAGGTCTGTAGGTGAAATTTACCTAACATCACATGGCTCGATTCAGCATGACAGGAAAGACAGCAGCAGTACCTAGAAAAGTGGTTTGATGCAACCTTAAAGCCTACTAAAGGCACAAACAAAAGACCTAGCTTACAGCAACAATTTACACATCATCACCAAGGGCAGGCCAGCCTAGCATGATCTCTGTTTATACACTCAGAACTGGTTGTGTGTCAGTCTTAAACGATAGTGGGAGAAGGTTAAAGTAATTCAAAGTACTTCTGTATAATACCGACTTACACCTGTTATATGGCTGTACCAAGTATGTAAGTCATAATGAACCTGACCAGATTTCAATCCATATTTCAATAAGTTCTTGCCTAAGAATTTTTTTCCCTGCTTCAGACTCTCCCATGGACGCTGTTGTTGTGCCTTGATAAACGGAATAGAGGTTCCAGTTCAGCTCCCTTCCTCATTTATTAGGAAAATGAACATACAGCCTTACAATACCTTTCTCAGGATGGGGAGAAAGAAAGAAAACCTACTGATGACTACTACCTCTACCTGAGGGCAGACAGATACCTGTAGAGGTTTTCTCATGGGCTGAGGCAAAGAAATAATTTTGGCAAATCCCCTCCAAGCCTAAAACAGGCAAGAAGAGGAGAAAGCCTGGAAGGCCTCATCTCGCTCCCTTCCTTGTTGCCTGTTGGCTCACGTAGAAGCCAAGAAGGCAGATGGAGACCCCAAAAAGCTCAGAAGAACAAATGCACAGCAGCAGGAGTCACGCTGCCTCAAAATGGCCTAGGTCCCTCCAGGAACACCATCTCTGAGGGGATGCTCGCCACTGGGATTTGTAGGACGCCAGGCACAGTGACACCGCATCAGGATGGGGACAGCACATGTCCCCCATGTCCCACCCAGGAGAAACAGCTGAAGAAAGGGCTGCAGGGCAGCAAAACTCGCTTAAGCTTGGTACAATTAGCAACACTAATTAAAATGAAAAGAGAAAGAAGAGCAATGCTTTGTGGAGATGGACAAAACCTGGTATTTGTTGTGGTGAACGCAGGGCTGAGCAACACAGGTGTAGCAGGAAGGCTGTATGAAAGGGTTTTTATAGTTTAGGAGAAAAGCAGAGGTGAAGTTCTTGCTGTTGGTCCTGGCTGTACAGTAATAACCATCCTCTCCCTGCTTTTCAAAGGTACCTGGAGCGGGGCAGGACCTTGTTATCCCCCAAATCCCCCAGCCCCACTTCTCCCCCGGCTCTGCCCGGTGGCCGCCCCCCCTCAGGGCTCCCACCGCCCTCCCTGGGGGGCCGGGGCCGGCATTCCCCCGCCTGGACCCCACAAGATGGCCATCCGCCCGGCCCCCCCCATCCCCTCCCGCAGCCCTTTAACCAAACCCCATCCTCAGAGCCCGATCCTCCCCGTTATCCCCCGACCCCCCCCCCGTTATCCCCATCGCCCCCCGCCGCCCACCTGCGCCTCGCCCTCCCCCTGCCGGCCTCCCTCGGGCGCCTCCCTCCCCTCACACCCCCCAGCCCCGTGCCGCCTCCTCCTCCTCCATCCTCCTCCTGCATCCTCCCCCCGTCCCTCCCTCACGCCGTCTCCATACCCACAGCCCCGGCGCCCCCCGAGCGGCGGAGCCCGGCGCGGCCTCCCGCTGGAGGCAGCAGAGGAGAGGCGCAGGCGCGCAGCCTCCACCCCGAGTGGCTGCCGCGGGGAGGCCGGCGGCGGCTCCCGGGTCCTCCCCGGAGCCGAACGGGAGGCGGGGGCCGTGTGAGGGAGCCGGAGCCGCGCACCCAGCCCGCCGGTGACCGTCGCTGCTGGGGAGGAGGTGGAGAAGTAGGAGGAGGAGAAGGTGGTGGTGGTGGAGGAGGAGGAGGAGGAAGAGGAGGCGGCGAGAGGTTCTCCCACCCCCACCCACCGAGCTGAGGTGAGGCCAGGGCAAAGCATCCTTTCTTCCCCTCATCCCTTCCTCCTTTTCATCCTTCCCCCCCCCTCCCCGAGCTCCTTTCATCCTCTTTTCCTTATCCTCCTTCCCCTTTATCTCGCCTTCCCCTCATCCTTCCTGGTCCTCCTTTCCTTTCTTCTCTCCTTAGCCACCTTTCTCCACTCCTCCCCATCCCCCAGACTCCTTCTCCCCGTCCCCACGTTTCACACCCACCAGAAATAATGCTTCCTTCCTTCCTTTCTTATTTTTAACGAGCATTTTTAATTTTCGGAGAGGGAAAAGAGCCGGGGAGAGCCGGTGGCAGACAGAGATAATCCCCCCCTTCTTTAAAGAACGGATCTGAATTAATGCTCGTTCGGTGCTGCGCGTATGACGGGAAGAGGGGGATTATATTTAGGGAAGAAAAGACAGGGTCAAAGGTGTGTTGCTTCGCTTCGCCATCTATTTGCCTAGCGTCACTTCGAGGTGAAATCCGGCTCCGTGCTAAGAACAATTTATGGTTATTCTCCTTTCTTCAGGCGTCAGAGATCTCCTCCTGCCTTTTATCCTGGTACGTCCCCATCGTGTGCGGCCACCGCCGCGCTCCTCACGCCCGAGGGTCGGGGAGGGGGCGGTGGTCGCTGGCCTCCCTCTGCTCCATCCCTGCCCTCTAGGCCTGTCGAAGCCCCGCCGGCTCCGCTGGGTGAGCTGCAGCTCCTGTCGGAGGAAAGTTTGCTGGGTGTAAGAGGCGGCTTTGTCCGTCCGTGGAGCGGGCTTTGGGTGATGCTTGGTGGATTTTGGCGACGAGGCGGTGGTCCCTCGAAGCGTTGGGAGGCTGATGAAGTGGAAGAAGTTTTGCTTGGAGGCGGCGGTGGGGAGCAGCGAGGCTCTGTCCCTGCTGACAGATCTTGTTTGTGCTGTGGCAGTGCCTGGGGAAGTAACTTCAACATATTTCATCCCGAGGAGTGCGTAGCATGCACCTGCTCCTCTGTGGGGCAAAAGGCTGGACGTGCTCCCTCGTGCCGGGCCGGCAGCGTGATGCCAGCTTGCTTTTGGAGGTGTCACTGGTGATTTTTGGCATGGTTTGGTGGTTTCAGTGCCTCCTCAGATGAGCAGTAGCACATCTCTGTGGTAGTTAGCGTGTTTCAGGCAATTTCAGCCTGTTCGGGCTTCTGTTTGCTGAGCTAGAAGTTTGTTTGTGCTTCGTGGGGATAAACACTTGGAAACCCCTGTTATCGTGGCAAACTATAGATGCTGCAGCAGCTGGTTGAATGGCAAAACTCTGTCAGCCCTAACGATGTGAACCCCTGCATGTTCTCCTCTACCTTGGCGTGTATTCCCTAAGAAACGTTGATTGTGTTAACTTGTCAAGATTGCAGCCACTGCGGTGTGTGCTGGAGCACAAGGTGGAGAAGTAGCATCAATAGGAGCAGCCTCAAACGCTGCTGGTGCACACAACAGAGCCGGTTGGCTTTGTGGCTCTCGCAGTGCTTCTCCTTTTCTCTTCTACCTATTGTTTCCATGATTAATATTATGTATTGTAGCAAGCTCCTTGTACTCCAGGTCAAAGGGAATTCTTTCTAGAAGAGAAAAAGTACTGCCCCGGAGGGTGAACTTTTGCACTCAATTGTGTAAAGCTTTGTTTACAGACTGCTGCAGAAATCCCCTCAGCTGTGGTGTGGGTAAGGTAGCTGTAATGCCATCAGTGGGCTCTGCTGGTGACAAAAGCCTCCACAGGAAAGCTCTCATGTCACTTGAGCCCCGCATGGAAATGCAACCCTAATTTATGCAGATTTTTGAAAGCGCTTTTTTAATATTAATGCTGAACATGCATGCTACTACTGAAATGCCTTTGAAACTGAAAACCAGGAGTATTCATAGACTGAGACTTTAAAGCCAAAGGAAGCAATTAGATCTTCTACTCTGACCTCTTGACTGTTACAGTCAATTGGATTTTATCCAGTTACTTCTGAGTGCAATAACTTGCATTTGGCTGAAACACATTTTCCAGGAAAAAATGGAATTTTGATCGGAAGACGGTAAGAGGTGGGGAACCCGCTGCTTGTTAAGTTATTTGGCTCCAGCTCCCGGTCGCTGGTTGCTGCTGTGCCTTTCTCCTCTGTGCTAAAGAACTCAAAGTATTTTCTTACCATGGATGTGTTTATCTGCCAGTACCCTGTAATTCCTCTCTCTTCTGTTTATAAAAACAGACTCTTTTTTTTTTTATTATTAGATTTGTCACTGCACACATTTTCCTCACTAGTCAATTTCAGTGGCTTTTTTTTTTCCAAATCCACTTTTTCAACATTTTTGTGAAAATGTGAGCTGGGTGCAGCATGCCAATGCCTTGTCTCAGGAGTGTTGTATGAGTTTAAATATTACCTCGCTAGCATTACTCTTCTGTTTATAGATCACATTTACATATTAACCCTTTGGCTGCAGCACTGTAGTTTAGTCTCATTTTTACTGCTAACGTTCACCCTCACAAACCCTTGGCAGGACTGTTTCTTTCCAGAAGAGTGTAAAGTAGAGCGCGTTTCTTGGTTGTAGCTTTGTAACTTTGGTTGTAACTTTATTTAAGAGTTTTTTTCCTAGCATATGTTGAGTATACCAAACACTCTTGCCTGCTTTTGCAACTGATTTATTTCAGTTGTGTAGCATTCAATCAATCAAGTTGGGCATTTTTTTTTTTTATTTTTCTTTTTTTTTGTCCTAAGTGATCATGTCTACTTACAAGTAATTGAAAAAGTGTTTCATGGTAGTGGCTGTGTTTGGGGAATTGCTTTGGGGAGTTACATTGTGATGCATTCTTGAAAGCTATTTCTTTATGAGATGTCACTTAAACAGGTTAAGAATTGGTTACTGGGTGCTGTTTTGTAATCAGACTGCCACAGAATACCATACCAAGTGCCATAAAAATTTATACATGCATACTGGTGGTTACGTTTTTTATTATTTTGCTCAGGACTGCCATCATTCTAACCTGGCTATAGCTATAAACACTGTCTCACTGTTTTTTTGTTTTACAACCATAGAGCACGGTTGTAACATTAGCATTCTTTCATGCTTCTGGAATTTCCCCGGTGTTTTCAGACCTATTAAAAATCTGTATCGGTGGGGTAGGCATCTCCTCAGACACTTCTGGGGGAATCTTTCTCCATGGTGACCCTTTTTGGTCTTGCTGACCAAAACCGTTGCAGAGTAATGCTGTTTTAGCGTTGTTCATGTAACAGGCTGAAGAAGTAATTCATCATTCCCATGAGACACGAGGAAGTCATCTCATTTCTTTCCAAATGCAGAGCTACTTACTGAATGCATCTGACCTTTCTGCACTATTAGCGTAGATTGGCTTCCCTGTTCAGTAGCACACCTTTGTCAGGGCTGAGATGCCTTTTGTTCTTACAAAGCCCCCTGCTATTTTTCCCTTCTGCCAAGAAGTGTTTTCAGCCTCAGCCATCAATTTTTACATTTACTGATTCAAGAACTATCTGTGATCTCTAAAAACTCTTCTTCTTGCTATGTATGGTTTCTTCTAATAACAGCATTTAATGAAATGTGTTTTGTTGCCAAATTAGAGCAGTTATGACAATGCCTTCTAGGTATTACATGCTGTTATGCTGTTTGAACATGTGAGTATAGGATTTTTTTTTTTCTCTATAATGACTCAGGTATACAAGTTATTGTATTTCAGGGCAAAGTAGGCTTTTGCTTTTAATATAGCATGTTTCAGGGCTTGGCTAAAGGAAGCTAAGCTATTTATTTTCTCCATCCTTTTTTCATAGCGAGTACAGAGGGTAGGACATACTTTGGTTTCAGATATAATAAAATACAATATGTAGTTGAAATGTGCAGAGCAGCCTATAGAGGAGTAATAGAAGAGCAACATGAACCTGATAGTAATTACACCAGCATACTTGGCCATAACTCATTTGGGGTTCAGGTTTGTAGTAATTGTCCCCCAAAACTTAATTTGGGGTAAGATGCAAGAAGATAGAATAAGAACAGATTGTAGGGGACAACATCATTCACAAAATGCTATATTTTAGAGGCTAGCTAAGGGCTGCTGCTTGACTAACATAAACCTGTTTGTTTATTTTGTATCAACACAGCATTTATTATGGTGTGCTTTCTTGAGGAATTCCATATATTTTAGTGTTTATCAGTTGGCCAGCAAGGACTTCCCCAAGGGAGGGCTTCCAACACATCGAGCTTCTGCAGGAAGCTGAGTTGTTGAGACTCCAGTCTCTCTGTGGGGTTCCCTTATTGATGGGTAAGAGCCACCAGCTGTATCAACTGTACTAGGAATATGAGTGTTCTCAAACTGCTGCTGTGTCTAGAAGATCCTGAACATTGTTGGACAATAACTTGTGTTAATATTTTAATATAAAAGAGACAAAAGTGGTTAATGCTGCAGTAACAAATTAGTTGAAGACACAGCAAAGAGCAGAAGCCAGGTTTTGGCTATACTAACAAAAGTGGTTAATAACTAAGTTAATCTTGTATTCCAGCTTATTGTCTTACAGGAATTCAGAATTCTAAGAATCCAGAATATTTTCAGAATTACGCAGAGTTGCTTGTGACTGTTTTTGGTTTCCTGGAGTTTGAAGCAGCAATCCTGGATTTCTTTTTGTGCTATTATATGGGTATACTTTACTGATCTGTATCGATTGCTATTACCAAAAAGCTTATCCATTGAATGTTTTCTAAATACATCTCAAAGAGTGCTAACAGTACTTTATTGTATTGAATCTTCAGTTGGGCAGGCTCAGCACTCTACACTCCACTTTCTGGATGAAAGCAATACATTGTTTATAAA